TTACACGGTCCTAACAACTAAGATCTAAGTGCTGTTTAGTTTTTTTGTTTCCTGTTGAAAATGAAGGTACTAAAATATTCGATCTTCAAGGTCATTTGAAATATGTCCTTGTCCTGTAAAGTAATATGAAATAAAGTTGAGAAGTACATTATTCCAGTGAAGTAGATATGAACAAATTCTTATACTACTGTTTTCCTACTATAACTGTTTGCTGGAAAAGCCCTGTTGTCTCATAAATTAGCTATTCACTAATATCTATTTGGCTTCCCGCTTTATTGTTATTTGTCTGACGTAACAAGAGATAACTAAAGGTCAATAACCCACCTCCACTTTCATCACACCCATCAAATTGAACTACTGTATATCATCAAGACACTGTTAAGACTTTATGGACACTTTTATCACAATAGAGATACTGTTCCAAGGATTAATAGCTTGCTTGTAAATTATTTTACGATAAATGAGTACAAGCCTATGTGCTTGGCTTTGGGCTACATATTTTTAGTGTGAGGGCTAGTAACACTATCTGGCCTTTTCAAGTCGAAATAGGCGAAAGGAGGATGAAAACTAATATATAATAATAATAATAATAATAATAATAATAATAATAATAATATAAAATTGTCAAACCACTAGACTATCACACCATTAAACACTACTTGATGTCAGCAACTTTTTTAATTATCGATATGGGGTTGTGGAGATTGTTAGGTTTTTGATTGAGATCATGAATTGATCGATGGAAGCACTGGATGGCCGTTTAGTCGTAGTATGGTACTCCTCAGCAGGGCGCATGCGGAATCCGAACCCAGGTGGAGACAGGTATCTGCCTCTGACAATGGAAGGTGGTCGCGCGACCGTCAATTAGTTAAAGTAAGACACCAACACTGTTGGATGCGGACTCAGTGGCCTGGCGGTTAAGCGTCTGCGCACAAGATCCTGGGTTCAAATTCCATGCGCGGAGTCGTGGATGCGCACTGCTGATGAGCTCCATACTAGGACGAAACGGTCTTTCAGTTCTTCCAGGTTTTCAAAGGTGTTCTGACATCGATCGATTCATAATCTCAATCAAAAACGTGTTAATGCTGTGAAATTCTCTAAATTTACTTATTTTGTACGGCTTAAAACTTGATGAAGTTAAAAAAGAACATGTCAATTTCATTGCAGGCACATTTACATCATTATACAACTGTCGACGGTTTTGATACTAGCATGTTTGAATCAAGCACTAATTCACTTCAGGAATTAATAATTCAATATACGGATTTTGAAAAACAGTCTAATGCACAAGCACTACCAAATTTACCACAGTTAGAGATTATGGATTGAATTTATTCCCAATTGTAAATACATTTTTTAGAACTATTTCTTGCAGAAAGTACTTTATTGCATTTATTAGTTTTTATATTATTCTTGTATACTTAAAGCTTGTATAATTTGTGATGATTATTCTTGTAAATGTGACCTCCATGTTTTGAACTTCTTCGTTACGTTTTAAGACGATAATATAATTTCATCTTAGTACAAAAAAGCTATTAGGTTTAAATGTACTTCAGTTATGGTTTTCACGTCATAACAAGTGTTTTATTATTATTTTTTTATTATTATCAGCTTTATTCAGTATTATATTTTTTGGTACAATATAGAATTCTCAGCGTAAAGTATTTCAACAAGTTTCCGTTTATTTCTTCTTGGTCGGTCCTGGCGATAAATATTGAGTGATCTCCAGTTAGATGTTAGCAGTTCACTAAATGAACATCTGAATAATGTGCATTCTTTCCGTTGTATATTGCCAGCAACCACATTGTCTCTTATTGAGTTTTTTGTATCTTTGACAACGAAAGGTTGTACACTTTTCAGAAACGCAGCAGAATAGGTTATGCGATTAATAAACATAGTGATATATTAAAACAAACAAAAATAGATAACCTGTTGAAATATCTAAATGGCAGGAACAGGTAGCCCAGATGATCAAGCAGGCCGCCCTTGCCCTAGTAGTGATATGCTGCTTGTAGCAAACAATAAAGTTATTAACTTCTTGTTATTAGTTCCACTTGTCGAAATGACTACAGATAGAAACTTACATTTCACACTATTTCATCTACCAAAAAATATTATTTTATATATAGCATAACTCCGCCTATTAGCTCTCCTAGAGGTACTGCCGGTCGCAAGCCCGGGCAGAAGAAGTAGGGTTGGGCATGGGGTCGACAACCCCATTCCGAAGAATACAACCTTACTAAAAAAAACTGCCAACCAGATTAAACCATTTAAACTGTGTCCTGGGAGTTTGGAGGAAGAATTATAACGCCTCACGATGAAAGCCGAGATTCATGAGGCCGATGAACCTTCCTACAACTAGAGCTACAATCAATATAGGTACATGGAGCGTGCAGACAATGTGACAGGCTGAAAAGAACAGTCAAATAGCAACAGAAATGAGGAGATACAACTTGGCCGTACTCGGAATCAGTACTCGAAACCCATTGGACCCAAGTTGGACAGCAAAGACTAGATACCAGGGAGATGCTGCTATACTCTGTTCACTATTAAGAAGATGCTCCACACACACAGGGATTTGCTCTGCTGTCCAAAGAAGCACGTAAAGCACTTGTGGGATGGGAATCTCATGGGCCCAGGATCACCAAAGCGTCTTTTAAAACAATAGAGAGAATTACAATGAACGTTGTCCAGTGTTATTTACCCACAAGTGATAGCAACGACGACGACAAAAACCAGTTCTATGAGAGGCTGCAATCGATCATAGCGAAGTACTCAGGAAAGTACCTGGCCATCCTCATGAGAGATCTTGTTGTGGATGCGGAGGAATAGACCAATAATTATCATGTTAAGTCCAATGGTGTCCTTGGACTTTAAATGGATATTTCCTATTGGTCGATATCTGTCCACTTGTTGAATATTGTACAAAATGCTGTTTTCTATTTTATGGTACGATGTGGTATGCTTGATTGGTATATAAACAAAGTATGTTTGAAATATAATGATTCATATCTCCGAGGCTGTGACTTGTGTTCTGGACTCAACTAACTGGGCTAGACAGGGGAGCGAGACTCTAGGCCGTCCGTACGTGTTTGCGTGTCACTGTAATCGATCGATAACACAGGGTAGAAATCGACAGCAACCTAAAGTCATAACAGATCTATATTCCCACACAAACGCATGAACAAAGCTACATGGATGTCATCGGACCAAACCACGTAGAACCAGATGGAACATGTTTGGATCAGTAAAAAATCCAGAAGGACAATGCAAGACGTCAGAACCAGGAGAGGAGCTGGCATAGCCTCAAATCACCACTTAGTTGTGGCCAAGATGAAACTGAAGTTAAAGAAGCAATCGACAACTGGACAAACAGGATTACAAAAATTCAATTCAACCTTCCTACGAGCCACTAACAAACTTGACGAATTCAAGATAACTCTCAACATCAGGTTTCAAGCTTTACATACTCTACGGAAAGAAGAAGAAACTACTATGGAGGACAACTGCAAAGGGATAAAAGTGGCATTAACTCCAATGCGTCAGGGGGTACTGGACCGCAAGGAGCATCATCATAAGGAATGGATCTCTATCGAAACCCTGGACAAGATTCAAGAAAGAAAGAACAAGAAGACAATAATTAACAACAGTCGAACAAGATCACAGTAAGTCAAGCCACGTGCTGAATATACATAAGCAAACAAGCAAGTGAACAGGAGCATTAGAGTCGACAAGCAGAAATACGTGGAAGACCTAGCAACGACAGCGAATAGGCTTCAAGAGAAGGAGATCGTCAACATCATTTGGAATTCATACAACAGACTACACTTCAGAGTAGTGCATGGGGGACAGCTGACTGATGCACTCCAGGTAAGGACCAGACTCAGATATGGCTGCTTACTCTCCCCCTATCTCTTTCTTCTGGTGGTCGACTGGATTGTGAAAACCTCGACATCTGAGAGGAAACACGGGATACAATGGACAGCTCGGAATTAATTAGATTTTGGACTTTCGCAGATGATCTGACTCTTCTATCCCATACACACGAACAAGTGCAGATGAAGACAACTAGTGTGTAGTAAACAAAACAAGAGCGGGGACAATCGGGTGTATTTGACACTAAATCACAGAGCATCTCACTAAAATCTGAAAACCACATAGTAAATAGTTCATTTGCAAAATATCAATCCATCATATCAAACTTAACTGTTCCTGTTGCAAACATCCATTGTCTCAGATTTCATTGTTCATGAATTTTCATACGAATTGCGTTTTATTCCCGTTCTTTCCTTATCGACCTTCTACTTAAATATATACTACTTATGTGGATATAAGTAACCCACACCACAAGTGTAGCAACAGTCTCCGCATCGGACAGAGGGAGAAGCAAGATCCTCAAATAGAATACGGAAAACACCAATCCAACTTCCTTGATTATGAAAAAGCATTGTGCAGTGCGGATAGGAGCACTTTATTAAAACTTCTTCGACACTATGATTTACCTGAGAAAATCGTTCTCCATGAGGAGTAACAGGCGTAAACAAATTCATGTAGCACACGACAATTTCATGCAGTTCCATGTAGGGACTTTCAACGCGATAGCATAGTTAGCTTACTTGAATGAACAAGTGACCCTTTCCTATTCGTTGAAATCCATCCCATACTGTGAGAGATTACGGATATCCATCATCGTTAAGATAATCAAATGGACTTTGAAATAATAGCATTCGAATAAGGTTTCATTTTGTGGATAAAAACACAGTACTGGACGGCCGTTTCGTCCTAATATGGGACTCCTCAGCAGTGCGCATTCACGATCCCGCACCCCGCGGGATTCGAACCCAGGACCAACTGACTCATGATTTCAATCTATGAAAATTTCTAAAATCTCCACAAACCCCTTCTGATAAAAACACAGTAAACGAAAATACCTCATAATTAAGAAAAGTACGCATTTCTAAAATAACTATGTGTAGGTAAATATAAACAGAAAAAAGCATCTATGAGATATAAATTATATTTAAGGCAACATGCGGTGGGCTTTAATTGATAAATTCGGTAAAAATACTAACAAATAAAAGTTTTCATAAAATAAATCAACATGCATAAAAACCAGTAAATAATTTTTTAAAGTAAAAATTGGAAATGCGTATGTCTGACTTGTTCATTGTTATTTTAACGACTATTTCTTCTCATTAGTTCGGAATTTTCTGCACAAGTCCAAGCTCTTTTAAACGTTCTAAAGCTTTTTTGGAACATTCTCTTGTGCTCTCACGATCTTTTTGTTCTAATTCCCGAATACGTCCATCACTGCACCCGGGATACAAAGGTTTAATATCCGGTAGCACTTGATCCGCCGGATCGATATCTGGCAATAGACTCAATGATAATAGAACTTCAAACATGTTTGATTTGCAAAAGTATTCACCAAGAGATCGTTCACCATGTAGAACAAAGTTTTGCAAGATATGAGCGGCTCGATGTTGTAACGCGCATGAAAAGTGCCCAGCTAGTGTTTGAATAATCTCAAACCATGAGGAGACCTAGTTATTTAAAGAAAAACAATCGACCGAAATAGTTTACAAGAATTAATTTTGTTAAAATTATTACACCTAGTGTTTTGTATTGACTTAATTGTTTTCAATGTTGAGATTGTTTGGACGCATTAATATTTGTCGACAATTTACTGGGATTTATATATGATGAAACTATGGATTATCAATAAAGTGGTGAAATAATTTATAGTCAAATTTTCAAGTTATTCATGACTTCTGAGTCTGAATGCCGTCGATCTAAGACTGTTAGGTGTTTCTGTTATGTAGGCAACTTATTAATCGCACTTACCTTTCTTGATCACTTGTGGTTAAAGCATTTGGCTTTTCGCCACTACATGGCACGTTCGAACCCCGCTTCACCTACTTTAATTTGGGCAACTGAGTAGTACCATTAGCCCTCATATTTAGGGCATGATTCGCACCTGGTACATAAGTATATTATATACACATTATATATAGAGATGTTTGAACCAACTTCAAATAAAATTATTTGAAAAAATTTGGGCGTTGGGTAAATGGTGATCGTTATTATTGAAAATTTTTACTCTTCAATAAGTGAAAATTAAAAAAAATTGTTTTTATTAACTTTTCGCTATTTTAAGCTAATAACGTTAGCAAAGTAATGGCATATAACAGATTTTCAATAATGATGATTGTATGTTTAATAAATTCTGAAGGAACCTACTGAAATCGCTTCACCTGGAAGACGATCATGATAACATAAAATTATATCCACTCTCCTTCTTATATTACTATTTTTACAGTAAGTAGTTTTATAGGAGATGGAATGTAACTTGTAATGAAATTTAGGACAAGCGTTTCGTCCTATTTCGGACTCATCAGCCGAGTGCACCTGCTACACCCCTGAGTTGCTGTTGACCTCGGGACTGAAATCAAATACTGTTTGCTTCAAACGCTGTCGCTTTGTCCACTTAACTACTGAGTCCAGTTAGCGATCCATTTATACAATGAGTATAAGTTTTCATTTAATTTAAAATGGTTTAGATTATCCCGTTAATGATACAAAAACATCTTAAAAATTTATCCACAAATAAAACATGGTTAGTTCGCAATTTGTTTTCGTGAATTGGAAACTTTTTCGTTTTGTCAAACTCACATTAGTAATTTTCCGTATAATCCCTGGATCATATGACATACTGGCCAAAGCTCCAGAAGCTGCACGTACAAGAAGTAAATCATCTAATTCTCCACAATATAAAACTAGCAATTTTACACGTTCTGTAGGACATGTAAGATATGATAATTTCTTAGCTAAATCTGTATCATCCAAAGGAATAGTACCACCGGAAGATATAACAAAGCCATGAGATTGAGCTAAATTAGCTACACATTCTGTTGCAGCTCTCCTGATCATTGGATGATCTTCAAAAAGACAGTGATCAATTAACGGTAATCCATGTTCTGCCATGATACGATAACTGAGAAAGAAACAAGAAACGATAGGAAATCATTGAAAAAGTGAATATCAATTAACTGTACAAAATATTTCCGTTGAAAACGTCTTTCACATTGTGGAAATTAATTAAAAAGACAATTCGGTCCTTTACTTTTGTATTTCAATAACCCTGAAAACAAATTGAATAGTAACAAACAGTATATTCTGTTTCCATATTATACAAAAACAAAGATTTAATTACCGACATAGGAAGTGGTATCGTGAATGTTCACCGCTTAGAAGTCTTACTGTCGTTTAATGCCCTATGATTTTTTAAAATGTATTCCTAATAGATAAATTTAGCCTGAGAATACTTGTAATAACTAATTTGGTAAATCCCATCGAAAAATTATCCAGAATATCACTATGTTTTGCACTCCAAGACTTACTGTTTGTGTTTTGTATCCAATTAATGGTCGACTGAATTAAGAACACAGCAACCATAATCATTAATTATGCACCAATCCGATAGCTACCAAAAATTTCGAACTATTAACGTATATTAACTTAGTGTTTAATGTGTGAGTTAATAAGGTTAATGTACTTGCTTTTTTTCGAATTTCGATATCTAACCTTCCTTTATTCATATCTTCATGCAAGAATTTGATGTTTTTCTGAGCATAGGATAACACAAAATAACTTAAATTATTATCCGATCCGGTCAGTTAAGCCTAACAATAATTCTATACTATACAGGTGGTTTGTGGAGATTGTTGAATTTCATAGCTAGCACCACGGACCGCTCCTAGTTAATTAAGAAATTCAACAATCTCCACAAACCCCATATATAATAATAATCATATGCTCCCAAGTGTCCAATTTAGAGAGGTAATTCCAGGAGTTTTAGTTAGAAGCCGTGTCCAGTGGAGTTCGACTGTGTCAATTGTGAGATAGTTACCCGCCAGTGAAATTGAAAGACGGTTCATCAATATCACGAATTGATTGAAGTTAGACGCGTAAGCTATCGGATGCGAACTCAGTAGTCTAAAGATTGAACGCTGACCATAAAACCTAAAAGCTCAGGGTTAGATTGGCAGAGGAGTAATGAGTGCAAACTGCTGAGTTGAATACTATGATGAAACAGCTGTCCAGTGCTTTCTGATTTTCAGTGGTTGTTTAACTAAAATCAGCCTATGATGGTGATTATAGAAAAGTACCAATATATTCCTGCTTTATTACAAATAGATAACCATGAATAACATCAAGTGTGTGGAAACCAGCTAGCATAATATATTAACAGTTCCATTACTTACCGATGTGTATCTCCCAATGAAGCTAAATTTGTCAAAGCCAATAGACCTTCAAAATTTTGTAATGCATTACAATCTGCATGAATTAAATGAAGCAGTGGGCGAACAAGTTCCAATGACTGGGAACAATATACAAAATGGAACGAAGAAACAACAAACATGAATCTCTTTAAGATTACATGTAACTTTTATGCTACTCAAATGAATCGTAGTGAGATACAATATTCAAATATAAAAACATGTGTTATGTGGTCGAATATAGTCAATAGGGAACCCTGCTTAACCTGGGTTTCATGCTAGTTAGTAGTCGTCAGAAAGATGTACCGGCAATCTTGAGAGAATCAATATTCCCCATGCAAGGTTAACAGTGTATCACCCAATTTCAAAGTATGAGAAGTCATCATTGAGAATTCGGAGCTCAAAAACGCGTTTAGGTTTGAGTATGGTTAGGCGTATGTAGATGAGACGTTAAAATTGATATCTGTGGATTTAAACATAATAAGCTTTATCGGATACATATTTTAGTTATGACAATTATTCTTTAAAAATAATCTAATTATCCAGTAGAACGTCTCATTGCTATACTAGGTGAATTATTTTCGGTAAAGACAGTATACCGCTCCTACCTTGTAGATAATTGGATAGAATAACAGTTAATACACTAATTCCAACTAATTAAATTTTAAACTTCAATCAATTCAATAAACGTGATTTCTAACTTTAGAAAATAAACATGATTAAGTAATATAACCAAAGTTTTAAGAATTCCCATATTGTGCATTAAAACAACATATGTAAGTAAACAAAATTGTTTTCGATTATATCTTCATCAGGCTTTACTCTAATATACAGTAATATTTATATGCGTGTCCGAAATTATTAAACCAATCACAGCAGTTAGTCTTAGCGATAACAGTCGAATACATTACATAAATAAACATATTAAGCGAAAAGTATAAATTGATAGTGTGATGACAGGTGTACTAGTTGTGATAAGAATAATAAAGGCTTGAATCCATGTTTCATAATGGAAATAGGTCAATGACTTGAAAAGTATTGATGCTGAAATCGAAACCGCAGGATATACGTAATGAGAAGTGTTCAGATAATTGGACAATGAAGCAATGATTTGCGAAAAGGGGGAGTGAGGAGTATTAAACGAACTAAGAGTATGGAAAACGATAAAATCGTTTATCAAGGCTAATTAGGCTGAAGACGAGAGAAAGGTGTTAGGACAATTTTGTGAATACAAAGACTTGAGGATCTAATTGAAAACAATATTGTTTGGTTATATATGTTATTCTAATTAAACAATTAACAATCACTTCATACCTTTTGTCCTGGAAATGTTACACGTGGATCTGCAGTGATAGTTAAACGAGCAAGAGCTTGAGAAGCTAACGTTTTACCTGTATCGGTATTCAAAGTACTCTTTGATAATTTAAGAAGAGCTTTCCCAGAACCACCTTGTACAAGTTTACCACGACATTCAACTAATTCGGAACAGGCTAAATAAATGCTTTAAATGAAAAGATAACACGTGATTAGTGTCAAAAGAAAGAGACACAGTAAGGTTATTGTTATATTCTTATGGCCTGGTTTATGTATTACGTGACACGACCGCCAATTAGAGACACCGACTTATACAACCAAACTAATGACTTATAAGCCTATACGAACAGCCTAGAGTTCTTACTAGTCCTCCAAAACAGTAGCTTTTTTCCTAATCCAGCCCGTTTAGTCCAGAACGCTAATATCAGCCTCCGCGATACGAATTATATATTTCACACATACGTGGTTTATATATAAACAAACCAGACTGCATCATACCATGAAATAGAAAATAATAATTATACAAGATCAGGTCAAAAAGTGGCTGTGATTGTGAGAGACTCTAACTAATAAATTAGGAATATCTTAAGAATAGCAAACCGTAAAATAATAGTCAATAGGTCGAATAAAAGGAATATGAATGTACATATAATATAATTACTTAATAGTTATAAGATAAGAATAATTCACAAATAGATCCTAGCAATTACTGTTCACCTATTCTTCGTCCGGATATAACAGCTATAGATGAATTTTTTCCAAAATATGCTGGCTTGATAGTTAATATCTGATGGTCAAAATATAGGACGGAAAATTTTCTGACTGGTTTAAGAGATTGGAACAATAATAAAATTGACTTGATTATCAGTTACCTAAACTCTAGATAATGAAAATGAACTGAGACGATTTAACAAACAAAGCGAAGTTACAGAAGCCACTAACTTTTTACTTAATATGTCGGCAAAAACTTTATACTGTTAATTACACGGAGAATGATTGGAAATCCGTTTTACTGATAGATCATTTTGTATGAGAAATTTCACGACTAACTACAAAACATAGGTATCCATGAGTCAATTAATTAGCTTACTTTGTGATTGTTTATAATAGTATGATAAAATTTTATATATTTATGATATGTTGTGTAAAAACCAGACATGTACATGATGCCTGAATATTGCATAGTGAGATTCATGAATGGATAATCTATTTTGAGTGAGCAAATTATTTACTTATAACTAATGTCATCTTCTACATATCGTTATTTTGATCAATTAAATCACTGAAAAATATCCATGTGAGTTGTAAGCATTATTATACGGCTTTAGATACGCAAGCTATGAATGAGATTTTTTTGTTCTCCCTTTAAGTAGATGGGTTGGTCAAACATTGAAAACGCGTAGAGTAATTAAACCAGACAACAGACAATAAAACTTTGCTTTAGTATCAACGAAAGATTTAAGGGATATAGATAAAATAATTATGATAAATGCAATAATAATAAGTGATAATAGGCAAAGGATTATTCGGACTTCCCATACGCAAGAATTCTGTGGTCAGTAAGGTAGAAAAAGATGCAGATAAGGGGAAATAATAATATCTAATGAAGTGAAGGTTTAAAAAAAGTTTAAAAGGGACGAATGAGAAGTACTGGGTAATAATATGCTTAAGATCTATAGAAAAATAAATGAATACGAATGCGCCAATACGACAAATTCCAGGGCATGGTGTCCAACGTCTCTAACTATGACTATTTCGCAATTTACAACAGGGATTTTAAATCGCGGAAAAATACTCAAACAGAGACGGTTGGAAGAAAGTTAGGGACGGCCAAACCAAAACGTGGCATCAGTCCTTGAAGACACTAATTTCTGGTCTGAGCCATGTTGGTAGACGCAGACTACTTGGTTGGGGTCCGCGTGACTATCGGAACCAATGGTTGGGAGACTCTGGTTGACATGACTCAGAATCGATCACAATGGCGTAGGAGTATACACTCTCTGTCTTCTCTTAAACTAAGAGATTAAAATGGCTTCATATCTTTCTTTCTACGTACGAAATCTTTCTTCCTGCACTATATCCTTATATGCAATCTTTCTTTTATACGTTACTACCTTTGAAGTGACTACTTCTATTAAATTGGTGTTCATCTTATTGTGCTAATGAGGTATGGCAACCTGTACTGATGTATATATATGCCTGGTCCTACGTTGTAGCTGACTGACTTCATCAGGATCTTTTAGTCACCCTTCAATCTACGCATTTGTTAACCATCAAAAATGCATCAGCGTAGTTACTGGTTAAACACACTTAGTGCATGTCTCAACTACCAACGTCCATGAATATTTACAACCCAAAAAGTCAAGTCACTCGTTCTGTCATGCATTTTTGAAGTGAAAACAGATTAATTTTATTACATTTCAGAAGTAAATTTTCCGTAAAAATTCAAACCCTTCAAATATCTTAAAATTGAGGAGTACTGATAGTTGTAGACAACAATCATGTTTAAGTACACAAAACCATGGAAATTTTAAATGTAAAGTGAAGAACAAAAACAAAGTATTTTCAGATGTTAGTTTACTGAGAACTTATCAACAAAATGTTTAGGATAGATTTATCACGAGTTAATATTAGCTGAAAAATTGTTCAAGCATCAAGTAACTTTTGTAAACGCAATCGGAAAGCTATTATCAACGTAAGGTCTGACACAAATGTACATTAGCCCATGTTCCTATAACACATAGGCAGAAAAAAGTTAAATCGAGGAAATAAATTTCAAGAGTCGAAATAGTAGTAATATTAAGGACCAGTGACCGATATTTTTTATAGCTGTGATAAGATTATAGTAGTCCTAAATATTATAATGAATAATTCAAATATTACAATATAGGAAAGGAAATAGAGTTATTAAAATGTATGATAGATATCCTTAAAATTTAAATTCTATACTAGGAATAAACGAAGTTTTGCCTAGAGCAGCCATGAGTCTAAACTATAGAGGATCATTTCAATATAATGAAACACGAGATTTTATATATATACGTATATGTACAGCTGTCTTAAAAAAGAGGAAACATCCAACATTTCATGAACTAACTAACTTACCGAGAAATTAGTTCGAACAAACCCTGATTTGTTCCGACCAAAGCAGTAGCTACACGCATTGTCAACTGATATAATGAAGAAGCTAAACCCATATTGATTAATTTTTGACGACGTTCTTGAATATATGCATCTGAATCGTATGGATGATCTTCTGGAATATGTTGTTTAGAAAATTTCGCTAATTCAAGGATTTCCGGTTCAATTTGTTGACGTTCAAAACTATTCGTTAAATGAGCTAAAACACTGCATAAAGCAAATGATGAGTCTTTTTGACAATGCTAAAAATGATTTTAAACAGAATTTAAAAGAGCAGTGTGAATAGAAAGTTTACATAGGATCAAATGATGATGCTGTCAAAAAACTAGTCATCGTTTCTCTAAAATTATCTAACTGGATTTCAGAAATCTTAGTTTATTGGAAAATATCCCCGCCCCAAAGACTTTATACATTGTTTTCCAGTTATCTTTGAAAATTGAATCAGCTACAGATTAAACAACATTCTTCAACCGTCGTTATGTATACTTATATTATAACAAAATGATTTATTGATTGATTAAGTTGTTTGTGCAGTTTTGTTCTAACTCAAGATAGCTTTTATTGTGAACTGAAGACCGGATAGTATTAAAAATATATTTGTTTGTAGTCTGGGATTTCTCAGCAGTCCGTATCCACTGTCATACACGAAAAATAATTCAGAATATCTAAATTTTACAGGGCGATTGACTATATTCATCCACTGAGTTGTAATGTTATGACTGAAATCTTTGTCAAAAAATAGGATACATTTTCAAGGATTAATAAAATATAAACAAACCGATTGTTGAACAGTGGGTGAGCAATATACATCTCGATTTTTAAACAGGAAACCGTGCCTAGTATCATCAATAATCGTAGATGTTTTAAACAACGTTGATCGATAGTTACAGTGAATTTAGAATGACTGAACTGAGCAACTGAGATCATCGTATTCCAATTTGATAGGAAGAAGAGTACCGTGCTTATTACGAGAGCTGAACTTTTTTTCCAGATTCAATAATCATAATCTGGAACAATCAGACATATCAGTTCAAGGCCAAGCGACAAATGTTGGCAAGTGAATGCTATTGACCAAGGCTCAACTTAATTTCCTGAGGGGAATAGACAAATACCAATGGCGAAAAACTGATTCAAGTTTTTGAGAGGTACATCTATATTGATGAATGAGTTTGTATTTATACGCAGATTCGGGTTAGCCAATAATAATTTCTTACTCACTCTTAATTTTCTCACTCAAGTAGCTGGTCGAGCTTGCGCATAGGAAGCGTAAACTCCGGTCGTAGAATTGAACGACCGCCTAACACAAAAAGTACCCCGTAATTTTGTAGGTGCAGAAAGTTTCTTTAACTACGCATTATGCATCCAACAAAGGGAATAAATTGTCAAGTTATGTTGCACGATATATTAATTTATAAAAAAACTTGGGGATATCAGTAGTATATTTGAACGTCGTTTTGCAAACAACACTTACTGAACAGAGTAAAATATCAATGAACTCAAAATCGTCACGAAAACTATACATGAAGTCACAAATCTGGTTTTCCTTTTATTATAGAACTAAACTGAGTTAGTTCTGTACCCGTGAGTTTTGAATCTAACCTTGTTCATGAACGGTCAATTAGAGGTTAAGACAACAAACAATTACTTTTATCAAGTGTAATGTTTTCTTCACAGTCCCAATCACTAATTTTCACATGACTACAAAAGAGTCCAGTTATCTACGAATGAGAATCTAACAAGATTATCTGATATGATGGATCAAGAATTAAACCTAGTAGTTAGGCATTAATCCCATTGGAGAGTTAGTAACCTATAATTAGTTGTTTTATCTTCCAATCGCTTATTTATTGAATGATATCTAATCATATTTACTTTTGTGTTTATTATTTTCATTTAAGCGAGTTATTTTGTTGGAAGATATATTATCTTCATCTGGCTAATGGTATTGTCTTATAATATCAGTTCATTCAAGAATTTCAGTTAATAATTCTGTCCCATCACTAAGCCAATTCGCATTGGCGAATCCTAGTGGAACATCGTTATCATCATATGACAAACGAAAACCATGTATATTGAATCCATTTATAGTGAAAAAAACGCAATGAAAACTACAAAAATCTTCAAAATAACAGGTGAAAATATAACATACTTCTGCAAAACGTAATAAAGCTGACACTAAATGACCATCGTTAATTATTTCCTCTTTAACATCTGCATTCATTGTTATATAAGCCATACCTTCAACAGCCCAATGAGCAGAATCTAAATCATCGAAATGAATAGTACTAGCAGTAGAACCATTTACAGGTTTGTTATCCTTTCTTTTCTCCACTGGTTGACTAGCTGATACGTCTTCAATTCGAATTTCATCATCATCGTCATCATTATCATCTACAACAACTTCTCCTTCAGAATTAAAATGAACATCGGCTGATTTATTTGCAGAAATATCATCTACATCAGGATCTGGTTGTCGTTTACCCAATAATAGCCGACGACATGCTTTGAGAAGAAGTAGATTAGAGCCTTCTGTAAGACTTTTCACACTAGCATCTGTACCACCAGCGGCACCAAGTTTACATAAAGCCTAAAATAATAATATGTAACTTGTATTAAAATCTGAAGTCCTGATTATAGTATTACTTTGGCCATGCTTCAATAAGAATATGTCAATTTGTCTATTTGTCTACTGTTCAGTTTATCTAAGTAATCAACGCTAGCAGATGAATCTAGCTACTATAAGTTTTTGTTGTGAATTCTACACATATTGTAGTATTTTTACTACTCTGTTTTGGTTATTGGAATCACTAGATTAAATATTGTTGGACCACAATTGTTGTTCCGATTTAAGAAAAGTTGAGTGAAGTATTTTAGTCACGAAATACTTAACAGTAGAGAACCAGTTAACTAAAAAGAAATCATAGATTTTTCAATAAGAACACATCAACACGGATTGTGACTACGATTTTTTGAATAAGAGACTGTAAAAATGCAGTTCATCTAGATAAGCAATTAAATAGTTGGACATGAGGTAAATAAGAAAATTTGAAAAATATCCCATATTTTCACGTTACATATTTATCAGTGTATGGAAATTAGATCCATCAAAAGTGGAAACCAACTGGTAAACAAAGAAGATTTGTTTAACAAAGACTTTTACTTCCAAGTGAAATTATTCTTATGGCTGTATAATAATTAACTCAATTATTGAACAACTTATCGATACAGATCATTTGATCAAAACAATCACATTCACCTAAGTCAAGGTGAAAAGAAAGCTACGCGAACTAGTGAGATTTTGTCTTTGCTTCATTCATGAAGCTTTTACCAGAATTATACATCCAAAAAAACCACCATAGTCGTAACCCTCAGTTTCCCACAGACAACCTTTCTTCCCGTTTCTCATATATTTTTTTGACCTTGCCTCTATTCCCTCTCAACTGACTGATTTGTTTTTCTACGCCTTTTTGAATCTATTTCACATAAATTTCAAAATTTGACTTGTTTCATTACCCAATCTATTCTAACGGATGATAATATTTTATGACATTCTTGATAAATATTCAACCTCTTAAGACGTGCACTTTTCATCCTTTTATAGCTAATTACGTCGTACTATCCCATTAGTTTTTTTCACTATATTATTGCTATTATCAACAAACATATTTAATTATCAAAATGTAAAAGCAATATACATTCGCAATCGTACAGTTATGAGAATGAATTCGCAGAAAAGAGTACATTCTTGAATTAGTTTATTCTTGTTATTTCAATGGGTGTTTTCGATTTGTTTAAGAATCATCAAAAACCTGCAACAAATAACCTATAAATTAAACTAATTTACACAAATTTTTTAAAAAAAACTATAATAGTAAACTCATTAATAACTTCAAGATGTTTTGGAATTTCTAGAGAGATGGCGTGATTGTTGAAGTTCAAGTATGTAAAAAGTGGTACAGTTTATTACTAACGGCATTGTATGATCGTTAGACTGTTTCGTGAATTGACTGAAGTGGGGATTGTACCACTGAACCCTAAGCCGATAGTTTTAGTGATGAAGGGTTCACCATGAGATCTGAAGCTCATGGGTTCGATTCCCGGTGAGGTCGTAGGCGTTCAGCGCCAGTCTCACACCAGAACGGAATAGTTTTCTAGTGCTCTCTGGTTTTTAATGGCACCCCAATTGATGATCAATCTGTGATGAATACAACTTAAAAAATAAACTAATCTCCACAAAACACCTTCAACGAAAGAACCTATTTGTAAAAATAAAATGTTAAAATTGTTTGTAAAAATAACTTACAACAAGTGCTCGAATTCTAGTACCATCATTTTCACTTTTATACAATGATTGTAATAAAGGAACAGCTTTAGAAATTATACTTAAACATTGTTGTTTCTTATGTGTGGCAATTACAATTGTATCTAATGCAACTGTCTAAAACGTAATGCATAAATACATAAAAACTCGTTACGAAAAGATTAAATAGAGGAAACAAGCATGAAAAAAAGGTGATAATTCAATGAGAGAGAGACGAGCATGATTACAAATTGGATGAAAAGGTGATAGCATCCTTTATATTTATTTAGTACAAATATCGTATTTAAAAAATGTAGTTTGGCGTATCCTTCGGCTTAAAATCTACATTTAATAGTAATTAAAATTATTTATGTATAGATTAACAAGAAGGGACACAAATTTTCATTTACACATGTGAGTACGATCATGAATTTACCCTGTTGAGTACCCAGTTGAATAGACTAAATTAGTTAGATAAGCATATGTCAAACACAATTCATCATTTAGTCTAAGGTTTAGATAGACAAAAACATTAGACTGAATATTTGAGGGAAATCAAACGATAATATCTTCCATTAACTAAAAGCAATATGATCTCAGTCAGAAGACATAAACTTATAAGTCTATAGGAAAATAGACTAGTTATGAATTTGATCTGAATGCTAGTAACAAACTTAGGACTAAACTGCTTCAATAAAGCTTCAAAAGTTTGGATCATCAGATCTAGATTAAGTAAAACTATCAAGCTACTATTTGGTTGATGTAAGCTTTTATCCACCATGTTAATCTGAGCGAAGATTAATCCACGAGTAACTTCTGAGACATTAATTGACCAATATTATCTATATATTCTTATAGTATAACTATTCAACAATTAGATTATGTATATTTATATTCCTCTTATTATAAGCTTTATTTTGACCTATTATTTATTATTGTACGATTTACGGTTCTTAAGCTATGTTCAGTTTATTAACTACTGCCTCCCACGTTCACAGCCACATTTGGCCAAATATTGTACAAATGTTATTTTCTATTTTATGATACATTGTGGTCTGTCTGGTTGATAGATAAACCGAGTATGTTTGAAATAAATGATTCATATTGCAGAAGCTGGTATTGTTGTTCTGAACTCAAGTGAACGGGCTAGACGGACATAGGACCAATAAGGACGCTAGGCTGCTCATACTGGACGAACATCACTGGTTCTGTCACAGTGCTAAGATTGTTAAGTCGTATTTTGATTGGTGGATAAATCACATGATAAAAAGCCGGACATAAGGTCATAACACGCCAAGTCATAGTAAACTGGTCATTTTACTTTAGTCTGTTCTGAGTACTGATTGCTGACACTGGGGCTTTATCATCTCGAATGTTCGTCAAGTAAGCTAACTATGACTTACTGTGTAATCACTTATTTACATACATTAAAATAAGTAGATTCCGAGAAGCCAAGATACTGCTTCGATCTCGGCTGCGCCATTCCAATGAATCTAACACAATATGGCAAAACTAGCAACGACAATCAATAATCGGTAAATGCAAGGGGGAATTAATATGGTTTATATAGTTGAACATAGTTTATTCTTCTTTTAAACCGGATAAAGAGAATTATTCAGTCGCTTCCCAATAGTAATTCCAGGTTGATTAACAGCGCATATAAATGATTTTATATTCACCAAATAACCATATTTCAAAGTCACAGGTCAGAGTGTCATTGTCAAACATTTTCGAAACTCAACGAAACACAAAATGCTAATTCGGAGCAACCATACTCGGTATTCTTGATTTTTAGTACAGTCTGTATTCATTAATATTGTATCAATGCACATGGGTCACACAAACAAACTACGAAATGATCAAACAAACTGTCACTTTAATAACTGTCAGTAGCAATGAATTATAACCTATTGAAATCCTTTACCTTGGACCTTAAGTTTTAAAATTGTCTTACACTTTTCTGTTCAGTGCATTCATTCTCTCTCGTTTGTGTTGAACTTTTCTCTACCATCACTGATATTATGAGTACTCATACTCATACTTATACTATCTTACATTTCTATTGACAATGCAGCAACTCGAACTGATGAATCTGTGTGCTAGGATTAAGTTGCTTATGTTAATGACCACAATGAAACAACTTACCTGATAAAGTTTATTCTCACATTGTGTAAGAAGTAATAGACCATCAAAAACCCCTTCTTGAGAAATTATTCCTGATCCAACTTCATAAGGTCCGAGGAATAATGTACCAATAACTGAAGCAGCTTCAACCTTACTTTCTATATAGTTATCAGCGAATAATTCACTAGAATAGAAACATTTTTCTCAACAAAATTACAGACATCAGTAAAAACACAAGCAATCGAGTCACAGCAAATATGAATTAAAAGTTTCGCAAATAAGACATCAGTTAATTAGTTGATAAATGATTTGGCAATGAGTGGCTATTAATATCATGTTTGTTTAATCTTTAAGTGCTAACCAAATTCTATAAATCAGGTTGTAATATGGCAGTCTGAATGACTCGATATCATACCCACTAGCAACAGCAAGCTAAAAAATATGACATTGATCATTATTCAGTGGTCAATCAGTTGTTGATTTTTAAGTCTTACAGGAGGTAACTGAGGTTCTAATAGCTTCGTGACAGTGTCTGATACTGTAAAGCTAAGCGATGGGTTTCAGATCCCACAAGAAGTACAACTTCCTATCAGATTGCAGGTACGTCCTACAAGTAAATGTCAACTATCACGAAACTTAAGCCCAAGAGTTTTCTATCGACTACCTTCAACTGCTTAACATCAATTAATATAACTCGATTTACTATGTGTGTTTATCTGTTCGGCTTTTAAAAGTACACTTTATGCGTAAACGTTACTGATATTACTATTAGGCTGTTCAAACCGAAGTTTGATGGGACTCGAACCCGGGACTTACTATCTACTGGAAGCCGAGTCTTTCAACTATTAAAGCACCGCTCAATAAAATTAGACAATACCGTACTAAACAGATCATTTATTTTTCTCATTATTTGTACAGTGTATTTACTCAATTCATGAGAGAAATAATTAAGATCCCATCTTTAAAAATTTAGTATAAAAACAATAAAATTAAAGCTCAAACTAAAGATGAATTAGGGTTGTTAGCTAGTATTTTTAAAAATACACGAAGGGATGTAAATAGATAAAAAAGACCATTTTTATTCAAAACATTTAAGAAAAGACCGATATCTAATTTTCTTAACAAGTCAACCTTCATATTGAAGCTTCGATATCACAGGGAACTAACAAGTGATGTTCGAATGAACGTAGAGCTTTCACAATGGTTGGTAATGTTTCACAACTTACACAAAACCTCAAGTACACCAAATACTTAACACTAATGGAAATCAAAATGAGAAAAACAATATACTGTGAATGCTTTAATTTAAAATTATGACCAAAAATTATTGTGATCATGATCTTGATATTTTACTTTCCATTTAGTTTCTTAATACTGAATAATTGACCAAAGTCTTAAGTGTCACATCGTTCTGTACACATTCACAGCATCACATATTAATTATACATTCAGTAGTTCTCGTATTTCTACTATGTTTTCAAGCGCCCATCTAAACAAATTATACAAGGTAAACTTATTTCATTTTGTAAGCTTTATTTTCTACTTTCTTGCTTAAAATCATCCATTTAATGAAATTTTCACTCGCATTCGCGCAATACCGAAATTCCTGGGTTCGAGTTGCACATGCGGAGTCATGGATGCACACGGCTGAGGAGTTCCATACTACGATGAAACGGCCGTCCAGTGTTTCCAAGTTTTTAATGGTTGTCTAACATTGATCGGTTTATAATTTCAATGAAAAAAAATAAAATGATTAAAGTTATAAATCCAGACCATTAAATATCAAGTTAATATTTCGAAGGCAACGCACTGGTTGCCAGAGAAGAAAATTATGCATTCAACCTCTGTTGACGTTGCGAGTCCTGATAGTTTTATACTAGGAAGAAACAATTATCTGATGAGCGCTAGCTTCCAATGATTTCGCATTTGGCGATATTAATTGATGATAAGACCATATATCAACTCAAACAAACTTCTCATCTAGATAAAAATGTTAGATATATAACTAATTCATAGAAATAATGAATAAAAGAGAATACGATAGTTTTACTTACATGATAAAATCTTTGCATATTTTGGTGTATTCATCTCGACTTTTGTCTGAAGTTAAATCATCCCATATTTTAGCTAACAAACAAGCTACAGTCATACGTGTATCACTTGTAGTAGCTAAACGAATTCCATCTGGTGAATTTTGACATGATATTTCATGTTTATTAGAAATTAGTTCTTTATTGGTATGTTTATTAATACGAGATGAACGCCAATTTCTTAATGAGGTTATTCCACTTGCACAAGCTATCTCTAGTAAAGAATCGATAACACCTTGAGACAAAAAATGAAGAGAAAAATTCCATAAACACAAATGCGTAAAATTACTTAGTGAACTATTCAAAGGTATAAAGAATCATGGATGAGTGATATCATTAAATGATTTGTTAAAAAGGGAAATCCTTTATTCAAGATTTGCCTTTTCAGAAAGAAAAGTGATATGAAACTAATATATAGGTTAAACTTGACATCTGTGAAGTTTAAACATTGGCAAAGAGGCTTACACAAGGCTGCGAAAAGCTTAACTGTTGATTTATGCTGTGTAAAACACAGTAGTATTGCTAATCTTAAATTTCAATTTCAAAATTATGTTTTATATGCGTTTATCTAGGCAAATTATAGCAAATACATGCAATCCAACTAATATTGGTGTCTTGTTAAGAGATAAAGTATGGCTAAATAAATCAGATTCTTATCAAGTCATTCATACGCCTACAGTAAAATAGACTTCATTAAACGAGCTGGTAATTAAGAAACGTAAGTGGATCACGAGGCCCTGAATGGTGACTTCAGATTTGTTCTAGAATCAAACCAACTAGTTAAATTCTGAGGTTTTGCCTTTGATCAGAAACATTATAAGGAATAGTGACGTTGTCTTCCTACGTGTTACCTGTGTCGTTTCATTTTTTTCATTCTCTGAAGTGACATTACACTGTCTTATGTAACATCTCTTTATGCACAATGTTTGTGCTGAATGAATCGTTAAAATAAACCAATAGTAAATAGCACCAACATTTATTGGCGAAGTCAGTCATTTGACGATAGGACACGTGTCCGTGAATTTGTAGCACACTTGAGCCCCAATGTTTACGATGTGTGTAATATCTATCACTTTTCTGTTCCTTTAGTAAGTGATTGCTGCATATAAAAGCATAATTTCCACTGGGGATCTCATTTCAAACTCTATCTTTCACTTTATTTGCTTCTTTCATTCGATAATTTCGGATGCGCTACAGTAGCATGTTCACAAAAGATATATACAGATAGTAATAGATGATCGAAATTAAGTCCCTATGGAAAATTGTACATCAGCACTGACACAGTAAATAAACGGAAAAATGATTGAAAGCACTTGATAGAGCACCTTTATTAAATGTCGTAAAAGGACAGTTATCCTCACATGTTATTTGCTTATTAGGATACTACTTTCAGCAATGACCTTTCTGTACTAAAACAATAAGCTAAATGTTTTTGACAAAGATATACTGCCTAGTCAGAAGAAACCATATTTTAACTAACAAATATTGCTGTTTAACCAGTCATATAAGGTCAATTTAAGGTGAGATATTACGGAAAACTGCCAAAAGAAAATATCCAGAAGTACATACCTTCTATTTTAAAAATTTTCTGTGACCATCCAATACCTTTATCAGATGGTACATATCTAACCAATATTTCCAAAATATAGTCTCGAGTTTTGGGGCATAACCGATAGCTATTTACAGACCGAAGAAGACTTGTTAAAATTTCCTCCACTGGCTTTTCAACTGTAGAGTCTGTAAAATGTAAATATATTGTTAAACTGAAAATGTGAATGGTTCCAAGTTGTCATTTATATATACTGTCTGGATTATTAGGAAGGAAGACCAAATATATTACCACTGAGCCAAAGATCATTAAGACTTCTTGAAGCATAGACGTAGGTGACTACTTTCAGTTGCAAATTTACGTTAAAAGAACTGAATATATAACAAAAAACAACACTTTTAATCAAAATTCAATCATCTCAGTTACGTAACATTTCCCACTTTCTTGATCTATATCAGGATATGAAGCACTTTTCAAGAATCCTTATTACTCTAATGAGTTAAAACAACCAATTTATCTATTAATGATTTAAGAAAACATTCATTGTACGTATAGGGTTGTGGAGAGTAATGAATTTCATTGAAATCATGGGCGATCACAGTAAGACTAGCATTGAAAACGGGCCGTGTCGTCCTAGTGTGGGGCTTTTCAACAGTGCGCATTTAAGCCCCCCCTGCATATGAGGAGATTACACCCGCGACCTTCGGTCTCACGCGCGAGCACTTAACCTTTAAATCACTGAGTTGGCGTCCAACAGTGTTAATGTCTAACTCCAATCAACCCACGATATTGCGCAATCATCCTCCATTGTCTTCGGTGGGTAGCTGCCTCACAACCGACATGGTTTAGCTCCACTGGTCACGCTTTTTCGATTGAACTCTGGAAATTTCCTCTTGAAACTAGTCGTTAGTGAGTACGTGATAATAGTGGTTCAAGTTAGACCAGCTCAGTGTTTCAATAAAAAAACAGTTATTATTATAACCAAATCTAGGCCAACGACATGCTCTTATCTCTTAGCTTATATTTAAAAGAGAAATAGGTATTCCGAAATCCGCAACTGAAAGCAAAACACATTAACCGTGTGTCTCATTTAAAACCAACCAATAAAAACTGCCGAATGTCAGCAGAACATTTATTGATTTTTATCACCAAAATATGCCTACATAATTAAGATTTTTTTCTTCACTTAGTAAGTAAAGACAAGTTTCAATACTAGATTTTGAGATACATTTATCATGTGGCGATAAGAGATACTACTTGATTACCCTGAGAAAAGTACATAGAGAAAAATATGAATCTGAGGTCTGGAAGTTAGGACCAGAATAGTCGAAACATCGATTAACAAAGGTAGAATTAGGTAGTATACATGAATAGTTTAATGAATGATTATTAATGAATCGCTGAAACTTTACATTCATTAAACTATCTTATTTGGAATATAGAGTAACGTCCATCTTTCTGTTCAAATCACATAAATATAAAGCGAGTAAGCATTACTCCTGTATCTTATTAATTACTAGACTAACTTACCAATCTTGTATTTCGGGTAAGAACATGGTGCGACTTTTTTACTTTCAGTCTCCTCATGAACGCTTGCAGCTTCTTTAGCACAATGATAAGCTTTCAACTGAGTAAGTGATTCCAATATAGCATTTAAAAATCGACATCGTTCCAGCGAATGGTCAGGATTACGTGAAAATATCCCGTTTACAAAATACTGTGGTGTAAGTTCATGTAAAACAGTAAGACCCTAAAGTAGAAAATGTTTAAAATCCAAAATAATAGCATAATCCATACAGTATACATATATATTTTCTAAGGTGTATTTAATTCTGCCCGCAGCCTTTCTGGGGTCAAAACCGGTCCCAAACCTGGATAAAGGAGGGTTGTAGATGGGGTTAGCGACCACTTAGTACAGACAGAACCTTGCCAAAAGAATGCTTTTATTTTATTTTATTTGAACACGTAAACATTGTTACAAGCGAGCACCAAATATATATACGTCACACAATAACAATGAAGCCAGTAGCAGTTATCATTTGTATGCGTGAGGGCTGGGATACTGCCCAGGTGCCCTAACCGAGGTATGTGGTTGTATTAGGAGGCCACACCCGGAGCCTTTAACCTGAAAGTCTAATCTACAAGATAAAGCATCAACTTTAGGAGATGCAGTCCCATGGTAACCGGTAACCAACAATAGATTCATACGCCCTTTGTTCCTTTATGATCCTGGAGCCCATGTGTACCATTGGTTTGGAATCAGGGTTTTCCAACTCCTCTAGATGGATCCTCCATATCTATCAAGCCGATTAGAGAGCCGAACATTCGCCTTTTGTCTTCTCAACTTCGTAAACAGCACCCCCCACTGCGAGAAGGCAGTCAGTAGGACTTCTCTGACAGTGGCTGCATACGCGTGGTCATGTAAGAGCATTTTGAGAGGGAAAGCTTACTATAGATGCATTTGAGTTTGACTGCTTTTTCTAGACTACTAAGTGGATGACTCAAATGTAATTTTTGTTTGCTGTTTATCGGCTCTTGTATTTGATAATTAGTAATAAAAATCATGTTTCATAAAACTAGTTACACAGATCTTCCACTTGAAATCTTTTGAAACACTTTTTAGTGGATTATAAAGAACATTACATTATGAGACTAAACTTATTGGCAACCAAACGATGATAAGTACACAATAAACCTAGTGAGCATTCAATAATACCTAAATTTCCAGATAATTACTTATAACCATTAACGTTAAAGTATATGATAGACTCACCCGATCTCGCTCATTTTCCACAAGCTGAGCCAACAAACGATGACAAGCAATGGTCAACTTATGATTAAAGTTCCGGCAAACGGAATAAATCTTCGACAAACTGGGATTTGTCCAGATCAGCGAACTTGCAACTTTGGGGTTTTCTTTTATCAAGATAGATAAATTAACTATAGCCTTTAATAGTTAATGATACGATCGGAAGGAATTTTAATATACCTGTTCTATTTGATCGGCAGAGCTGGAGTTGTCATTTACGATGTCGAACATCTTGTTTAGTTTCCCTGTAAGGCTTTCAGATTCTGCGACGTACGAAGCAACTGAAGTTTCCAGTTTGTGAGTCAGATTCTGAGCTGCTTTATTCTTAGGATCAACCAGAATAAGCCTTCTTCCAGTTTCTAAAGCTTCTTTTAACATTCCTTTACCTTCATATGCTTGTGCACAACGATAGAGCGCCTTTGGATCACCAGGAGAGATACTGAGAGCTAAATGTAATTAGCTAACTATTTGAAAGAAAACAAACCTTCCAGTGCAGCCGTCAGGGCGTCACCAAAGTTTCTCAGGTTTAAAAAACACTGGGCTTTGTTGCGTTGTAACACCAATTTCATACTCTTATCAACCCCATATAAACCAAGGCATTCGTCATATAAGCCAATAGCTTCTCGGTATAGCCCTTTTTTAAAAAGCTCATTAGCTTCAGTTTTTAATTCGATTGGATTTTTCATGTCAGCCTTTGGTATGGAATGATAACGAGAAAATGAAATGAGAATTAATAAAACGTGAACAAGACACGAACCGAAAGTTCAAAATGTACGTAACTGTCAGAGACAATGAAAGTTCAAAATATGGAAGCACTTATCCCCATTGTTTTAACTATCCCAATGTCCATCGTCTGTCTTATCAACTAAGCTAGATATTAGATACAGGATTGATAAGGGACTTAGAATGGTTGCTATTTAGCCGATAAGAGCATATATATCGAAGGAATAACGAAAAATGACGCATGTTAATTTCGATCATAAGTCCATCCACCAGACGTTAAAAGCCTACAGTTGTCTTTCATGCACCTAGCTTTAAATTTAAACAGTAACTTCGTTAATGAAATAAGTCTGTTAGTCTATAGGTTAACACTATGAAACGTCTACATAATGGAGACGTACGCTGGTGTTCTTAGAGTGTAAAATCCGTGTGTCACATCTAAAAATAAACAAGTGGAAATATATGGAAACACTTGAGTAAACCTTATATGGGTGAGCCAGTAGCATTGAACTAGTAATCTGTGGCACATAATAGAAAGAGGATACGAGCGTAAAGTTATTTAGTGCTTGTGATTACCTGCAATACAACTGTGCAAAAGAAACTCAAGAGGGATTATGTATGAACGAGCCTGTGAAATATCATTTTTCGAAATATGTCTGGAATATGAAGAATACTGTGTTTACCATAGACAGATTTTGTGCTAAGTTCATGGACTGATTTCTTGAAAACAATCGCAAGCTCCCAATTTTGGGACAAAATTGATCAGATTTAAGTAAATTTTTGGATAGTCCCATTGAAAATTTTCGGTAAATTTTTGGAAAATGCAACAGCAACACAATGATGCTAAATTGTATACTTATAACCTAACTTTATCAAAAAAGCATACAAAAATAATTTGAAGCCAACCACTATAAATAGGATATTTAGTCAAGCAAGAAACGATGACAATTAAAATGTCCAATAACCATTCCTAATACTTAAGATATATATCATATAATATTTCGGTCCCAGCCTATCTAATTACAGACTGGAACACGTAAAATGTTCGAAAGGTCATTTCCATATTCGGAAGCGTTTGTATATCTCCCTTGGTTCGTTCCATGACTTTATTGTTGACATAGGCAATATAAAGTCCATTATTTCATTTAAGAACTTAAAATCTTTGGATTTTAACGTTGTAGTACGATCCACTGAAGTTTCTGTACTGGGGATTACTGGACACAATCTGCCCAAACGAGGATGCTGTGAATTGATATTACGAGATGATAATTTTTCATACATGTTTTGTGAGTTTTTAGTTAGTGAAACAGGATAATCAATAATGGGTTTGAAAAATTTGAAAAGGCTTAGAGTTGTTTTTCTTAGTTTCTAGGGAAGATTTTAATGCTCTACCTAAAGATTTGATAGCTGTGTGTGCTAACTGCAGTGGAGCAATGAGAATTCAGCCCATAAAAATTAAAACACAGGATGTTCTAGTTTCTTCTTAAAAGACGAATAATTTCTTACGGTCTTCGGGAAGCAGTACACAAAACATTGAACAATCTGTGTGCGAAAAGTATAATTGAATCGATCCAGCCTTTAGTATGGGGTACTCCTATTGTTACGCCATTGAAGCTTGAGGGCAAGACCCCTAGAATATGTGGTGACTATAGATTAACATTGGACTCTCGTTTGTTGTTTGAACGACAGTGGAAGCTGAAGATATTATTAATCAACTTCATGGTTCTAAGGTACTCTCGAAAGTTGACTTCAAATTTCCTTAGATCAATCTTCATCTATTTTGACAATTAATACTCCTTTTGGTCTATTCAAACACAACTTTTATCTGGTTTAAGTTGCTCTCCAGCCATATTTCAGGAAGTGATGAATAATGTAGTCAGCGATCTTGAAGTTTATCAAGATGACCTTATTATCCATGGTTCTGATAAAGTAGCTCATGATCAGATACTTGTTTTATAGAATCGTTTAATTGGGAAGAGTATCACGAAAAATCCAAGTAAGTGTCAATTTTGTGTATTTAGTTTTTAATGTCTTGGATAACTGGTTGACGATAACGGTTTTAAACCAGATATGAAGCGATGCTTTGGATACAAACTCAATGCTGTAAAAAATAAGTTGAAATTCTAACCTGAAACGCAGATTTCTTGTCTGTTTTTTAAAAGCGGGATGAGTTATTTACTACTCCTGATGGTATTCTGTGTTTAAATTATTGTGCGGTTATTCCTCCTACATTAAGTGAATCTGTCATTGAAGATCCTCATAGTGAACATATAGGAAAGGCTCTTATGTTGGTGGCTGGAGATAAACCCAGATTTCATACAGAAAGCAATCGTGGAAGATGTCGTAAGTCAAAAAATCATCCATGACCAGTATCGTATAAGGCCTGGCAGAGAATTCATGCAGACTATAGTGGTCCATTTCTCGGCAAATGCTGTGAACTTGTTGCCGTTGGTTCTTTTTCTGAGTGGCCTGAAGCTTTTTCCCAACTTCACCATATTGACTTAACAATTCAAACATTGAGGAACGTTTTTAGTTGGGAAGGGGTTCTTATGGTACTGGTGACTGATAATGGCCCTCATTTTGCTGCAGACAGTCACTACCTGGTCGAATGGTATAGCGTGCAGACAACTGTTCATTGCTCATAGGCTCAACGCTAATACTAAAGAGAACATTTTAGATCACACGAGTCCATATACAATACACAGTTGGACAGATATTATCTGTCCAACTGTGTATTGGATCAGCATGTGACGAACCTAAGGAGAAGTACAATAAACTACAGAGATTTGTATTCTTACTAAGGCTATGGTAGTCGTGGTATTTGTAAGAACTAATGAATATTTTGTACTTTATTTTTCCCCTCATTATGAATTCCAAATACAATACGTTCATCTATTTCTACCTGTCTCAAATAGCACTATTACGGGGATTCTTAGCTAGCACATCAATTCTATTACTTCTAACTATCATGATTCGACAACTGATAAAAGTAAATAAAAGGATAGTTAGAAGGTCTAAACTCCAGACCTCAAAGAAGTAAACAAACGACAAACAAATGTCAAAGTTAATCAAATTGCTGCCACTTTCAAGGTTGTACAGGCCTTCCAATATCCAACATCTAATATCCTTGTCACGAGCTTAATTTCTTTAGCTCTTGTTTTTTGCTGTTATGTCACGGCTTCAGGCTTTTATTAATGCTCAAAGTATGGTAGTTCTCAAGTGGCTAATAAAGGAGAAATAAAGGTGAACAAGGGAGGACAAAAGGTATATTACTTTGGGAAATAAAGAGTGAATGATGAAGAAAAGAGCCAGAATGACTACCTTTTCGTCTTTCATGAAGAAACAATGAGGATTTTTCCATTATTGTCGTTCTCTGTTGTGGACGTCGCTGAGATGTCTACTTTTCGCCTAAATGCACACCAAATAGTCTACTACTCGTCTGAACACTAGCCTATCTTTAATTCACGTTTGATCACACGCCTTCGTGTCCACAATTTGCCTAACCCTAAATGTCTCGTACGTCCTCCTTTATTTGCGTGACAATATATACGGCGAATGTAATCGACTACCTTAAAAAATGGTACATTGGTAATGGCATTCATTGACAAGAAAAAACACCCTACTGTACAATGATATTAATAAAAAAACAGATGCTGGAGCATCAATCGTTATGTATTTTCATCGTAAGTTATAAGTCCTGATGTTATTTACGAAGATCTGCAGAAGGAATCACAGGTAGTGGGTTATTATTAAGCAATGTATCGTTATTAATAAGTGCAGAAGAAAGCGAACAGGCTTACACAACACGCTCCATCTGTTCAGGAGTTTCACACGCAAGTCTAAAATTCAACATATGGTAAGAAAAAACTTTACTAATAGTTAAGTTAACAATGAACAACATTTCAATGATGAAGTCTTTCTTTGTCTGCGATGTCACTATTACAAATCAAAATAATCTCCCTATGAATTCCGAAATTTAATAAACGCAAAAATCTACAACGGCGTCTGACTGCCGTAACTTGTTAGACAACTGTCAACCTGAAGCATGAATTACAGCTACGTTCGCTAATACTAAACACTCCGTCTATAGAACAACAGTGAATAATTATAACTTCAAATCAGTACATACATATTCTTATTTTCTTCGACAATGCTTTTGCATTTCGTCTTTCATGAAGTGAAAATACCCTTGCTTTGTGATGTCATACAGTCTGGCAAGTCCTTTTTCGTTGACGTATGGAGACAAGAACCGAGATGTTGGTGCGCTCGATGATTGGAAAAAACTCTTATTTCGTATACAGTCGTAAAACCTGCACATCTGAAATGCTGTATTCGATAAAGTGTCAAGTGATGTGAAATGGCTGGCAACTTTATGTTTCAGGACCTGTGACAAAATACAACACATAAACGTTTCCGGATTATCATCCATTGGGCACTGTCCTGCAGGTGCATAGACACAAGGTCCACTGAATAGAGACAAAGTTCTTTACCCACAATTCACTGTTTAGTTCGAAAAGCATGAATAAAGGTAGAAACAGAGAAGATAATTGGCAAGAATGTGAGAAATTAACAATATGTGTGGTAATGATAACTGTAGGGAAGTTATGATATATAGATCAGGTAAAGCTATTCCAAAGTGGTAATGTTAATGCACTTTAGAGTACGTGCTTGCCTAGTATTCTGTTTGAGCTATCCACTGAAGGTCTGTAGTCACTTCGGCCTACAAATAAGTTCAAATAGAGGTAACTCCAAATGAGAAAAAGTGGATGCGTACCTAACTGTTTGCTCTTTGATTTTCAATCTCTCGAGGACCGCCCGAGGAGTGTGGTGGTGACGTTCTAGTAATATGCTCGCACTGGTAACAACTCTGTGTTGTTGTCTACGCATAAAGTGGAGGGTTGCTTCTGCCTTGTCTACACCCCCAGTTTGACAGTTAACTCTTTACTAATGTCTACGTAGTCACTAGACCAAGATCACTCACAACACTCATGATATGTCGTTTCTACAGATTAAATTTTCATGGGTCTCAAGTTCTTTGTATCGTCTGCACAAGTTAGTGTCCCAAGATAACTTGCTTCTTGTGAAACTTTTGATGTCACGGCCCACTAGGTAACTTCGTAACCAGGATAGAAGTACGTTGGTGGATCCCATCCTTGCAACGTTCACTGCGGGAATGGCAGACGTTATTAATTTAAAGGCTTTTGCGAAGTTGGTAATGACACATGAACCCATATCACATGGCTCCAGCAGACTGTCCAGGTATCCGATGCTATGAGTGGAATGGATGCACGTGACCTGCCTTCCTCGAAACTGTGTTGGGCATTGGTATCACGATTTGTATGGACTTACGAACGCCCTATGAATATAAATCTGTCATTCAACTCCGTATATCGTCTAGGCCAACTCCGTATGTGTGACGACAGTAGTGCGAAGCTAAATACGGGTTGTGTTGAACAGCTTTATTTCAACCACTCGTTTATCCAAACAGACATTCAGAACAAAAAGCATGAAAACGATGCGAAGTGTAGAAGGCGAGTAAGCCAACTGGTTGTGAAAAACGGTACTATTTTCACTGATTATTTCCCTGATTTGTTCACTGACCAGTTTTTCCATTAACTTCTACAACTTTGGGAAAAAACGACTGGTCTTTAACCACCTTTTCTATCTCCCTCCCTGAAGATTAGAGAGGGAACGGCCTACTGTAAATTTCTTGGAGCTGATGAAGATTTAGTGAGTGGTTGAACCGGCTATACACTTGTGTGCCAATGGCTTCCCCTTACTGTTTCGGGATCAAAGGTCGGATGTCGCAACATCCTGGTGACTTTTCTAGGCTCAGGGGTATATTCCCTTGATCGAGTACTTTGTGCCGTTTACATTGAAGTAACACAAGCACGGTTCTGTTATACAGTTTAATTGTGGTTCAACGGTTTTGAAGTGTCTGTTCATGTATATATCCATTAAACCTGTTTTGTATACCTTGCATGACCACGTGTTTACATATGTTTTTACCGAGAGCCATGTTTCAGTTAGGATTATAATCTTCAGCTATTCTGGTTAGCCCTTCGGCCCCCTCATGTTGATAGTGAGGCACTTGATGGGGTTTCATTACTTGAACCTGGTATGCATTAGCATTTGTCTTCAAAGCTTTAAGTCCACTGTCCAGTCAAGTGAAGGATCAGCTCCGGAGAACTGGCTGTTGAAGGATTTTAGGTTGTAATTAATGTACTACAAGCGAAATGAATGCCTCTACGTTCTGTACGGTGTGTTGTTGATCAAGGCCAACCTATTTGGTGTGTTTTTGCTATTGTTTTACAAACTATGCCGACTCTCACAGCATCTGATGTGACTTCAGAGATTATTTTTTGAGTTTGCCCAGGCCTGAAGGTCTTCAATTAAGTCCTCTCGGTTTATGAAGTTCACAGCCATTTGGCGCAAAGACCCAATGATCCTAAAGTGTAATGGGCAGGGTAACATAGACAGTTTATCGTAGTGATGTGAAGGTTTATGCTACGTGATACCCAGCACTGTTTTACATAGTGTTTGTGGGCTTCATATCGACTAACACCCACTAGCTCAGACACTCCGTGTACCACCATGCTTGTTGGTTCTTGGGTGTTTGTTTATCTTCTAGCGACATCCCTTAAGGCCCACAGTTTGTCGCTGTGTAACTCGGATTTGGAGGTATCAGACGACTGATGATCTCTGGGATATCATTAAGATTTCTCCTGCAACGCGTGGCAAATCTAAAGTTACGTTTAGTGGTGAGGGATTTGTTTTTTTGCTGCGTTTGGGCTCTAATACAGACAGTATTGCTTAGTGTGAGTACTGGTAGCAACACTATTGTTGTCCATAACCATCGATAGACTGAAATCAGAAGGTGAAACTTTTAAAGAGGAAGTATGCATGATGAAAATTTCTAAAGAGAAAATTAATATAAATAAGTGGATATATACTAACCAAGTTCAGGATCTGAATATCACTTGAAATCGTATCGTGATCTATGACCGTTTTTAAATTATCTATCCGTAAGTGCCATGTTTGCGAGTAAATGGATGTGTATATATTATAGTTAAAGCAACTAGGGAGAGATTAGTCGATCGCTCCAGTTAAATCCAGAGCACAGTTATTCAACCTTGGTAAGATTGTTGTTGTCACATTTGTTATTTTCGCTGTCTAACAGCAAGGTGAAGACGCAGTTCGTATCCTCGGAAGCGCCTAAATGTTCCAATGTCTCACTCAAAAATTGGATATTTCCAGATATTAGTGAGAATTTCAAGAAGTCACATCAGACTGAAAATGCAAGCACACTGATGGTTGACGCAATTTCAACATTTAATAACGAAAATAATCGCGATGAACTAATGCGAACTACTCGATACATTTAGGCTTCCTTCTTAGTGTTCAAGGGGAGTTAAAGGGTTCAGCTATGAACCGATAAGAATAGTCTCCTATGAACTAGACTTAGTAAGCCTACTTGCTCTCTTTAGGCTGATGTGGCAAGAGTATAATTAGTAAACTTGTTCTGGTGAGGTTTTGTTGATGAACCCAGAGAATTTCAAGTTACATAGGAGATGTTCAGTTGGCTATAATGAAACAGAAGTTTGAATAAGTGTATTGTAAAAATGACAGGCTGTCGAGATTTTATAAAAAATAAAGTTTCTAATTAACTCACTAATTAATCAGATGTGCGGTGCTAGAAATCTGACTAAAACGATGTATCTTATGGCAGGATAGGAGGAGTTATTAAAAGTGGTGATAAATATTAATGTGTAAAATGCGAGATTGCAGTAGATCGTAATGAATGCAATGGCTTTTTTTATTCCTAATTGCATCTAGTCAACCGACATTTAATATGAAGGACGATAAATCAAGAATATATTATTGTTTTGTTAATGATTTCTTTGTAAATTATTCTGTCCCGATTAGGAATCTCAGATTCAACGGCTTCAATTGTGTTGACTGAGCTCTATACCTCTAGATTGAACTATTTGTGAGCTATTATTGGTTATATGATAATAATAATTTATTCTCAAATAACAGTTTTTTACATGAAATGTTATGTTAAAATCGAGCTCTCAAAGCTTTGTCACCAGTG